AATTAATAATACAGTGAAACGTTAAAATTTCGTGGTTTATTTTCTGCCGAAGAAATGTTGTAACACCTTTATGTATTCCTGTCATACTACTGGCTCCGTCAGTTGCTATGGAAACTATTTTATTTATATCGATTTCATAGTCTTCCAGGCAGTTTTGCACAGCATCTGCTATGTCTTCTCCACGAGTTTGCCCTGAGAGCGGCAGCAAACCTAGCAGTTCTTCTTTAGGACCTTGGGACGAAATATACCTGGCGAATAGCGTAACTTGTGCCGTGTCTCTTATGTCGCAAGACTCATCCATAGCAAGTGATATAGCAGAAGCCGACTGAATGTCTTCCACTTGCATGTGTGTTATATTTGAAGACATTTTAGAAGTTCTATCTTGTACTGTTTTAGCAGACAAAGGCAAATCTTTGATTTTCTTCATGAGTTCGGTGTTGTTTTTTAAATCACGAATGTTTTCCCTCTTTTTGCGAAGCTAGCCAGATTGACATTACTTTAAGATTGCGTCCAGTGGTTGAGCATAGAACTAGACTGTTGTTTTTGTTTTTGAAGCTCTTTGACAGCTTTTTTCCGTGCCTCACCGGTTGGATATTGTACAGCGAAGCGGGCATGTTTTGTAGTGAAGTGTCTCTCCAAATTTGACTTCTTATTGTGCGCAAGTTTTTCTTGGCAAATGAGACACGTCGGCAGACCATCTGGTTGCATATGAACGCAAACGACTCGGTCCAATCCTGATTAAATTCTCGATTTTCTTCTTCAGTTCGTCTCTTCTTTCTATCAGATGCCATACTGGTGGCGGGGTTAAAATAAAGATTTTTAAAATGTTATTCAGCATCTAAAACGGCGTTAATAAATCATTAAGTAAAAGTTAATTTTGTATATTGTTAATTTAAAAAAAAACGTTTATTAAATGTTAAAGCGTATGGAAAAGTATTGTATTTCCAGGCAGAATCGTTTTTTTTTTTATTTAAATCATCCATAGAATTATATTTTGTCTTTCTATAACATGTTTACTGAATGTCAATGTAACAAAATAAATAAGTATCCGAAACAAATAAAATGTTCTTTTACCTTTGGACGTTCGAAGGTACAAGAATATGAATGATTGTCCGGCGGTCCAACAAGGGTATTTTCAGAAACTTCCACGTGTAAAATAATTTGCCATGATGAATATTCAAAACAAACAATACATTTAAAAAGCTGAACACATATAGTTTATGATATAATACTTATCATAACAGCGGGAAACAAACAGAATATGCAGTACATCATAACTATGAAAATATTTACCTCAAAACAATAACGCCAGATACTACATACACAATTGAATGAAGTGTGACAATATCAAGTACAACAATATTTAATAGGCAGTACTTTGGAATAGTGAATAGTTAATAATTCTAAAAGAATAGGGAGGTTTTATTGTTTAAATTTATTATTATATCTTTCATTATAGAGTGTTGTAAAAGGCTTGCCGTCTGACATTTCCCCATACCAAGCGACAATCAGCTGTCCGTAAACCGTGTACTCTCTACTCCACCTATTCTCACTGTTCTGTGTTGAGTGTTTTTATCCTGTTTAAAGTATTTTTCTGCAGTATACTATTTTTTTAAAGAGTATAAAAATTGAAATAATTTAACGATTAATATTTGCGCATTGAACTCGAGAGCCGCACTTTGACATCAAAAGAGCCGCATGCGGCTCGCGAGCCGCATGTTGCCGACCCCTGGTCTAGACTGACGACTGACGAGGAAGTGAGTTAAATAAAAGCTTGTAAAAACTAGATTCAGCAAATACAACACAGTTTTGTTAAAGATTTCTTATTTGCCCAAATAAATGTTATGATTAAGCTAATGTGTTTGAATTTTCTACTAACATACAGTGTTAAGTAAACTATTAGTGGCGTTTTATTATTTATAAATAATTTTATAAAAAAACACATGTTTGTAATGTTTTTAAGCAATAAAATACCCTACATTATTTTTTATGTTCATTATGCCTGTCTAAATTTTGCTTGGTAGTTTTAGCTATTTACTTAATAGTTATTCCCCCTGTATACATTTCCTTTTAATATATTATCAAACGGGCGATAATTCATTGTCAAATTCAAGTACAAAATAGTAGCCTGGTCGGTGCTAAGCCAAGCCGTGGTTACTCTCCCCAACGTGATTAAATAGGGAAGGACTGATGGGCTTCCTACGGGCCACGGATTTGAGAAATCGACTATCAATATTAACATTATATTATAAGGATGTCCCGTTATTATTTGAGATCCATAAATTAATCTTTAGGCAAACCATTGAGTTATTTGACTTGAATAAAATTTCGCATTTTAAGATTATGAAATAGGAGATACTTTTGGTAACTCACCTAAAATGGACATTTCAATTATAAAGTTGAATTTATATTTCTCAGATTGATCTTCATCAATTAACTACATTTTTTTTTAAATAGAGAAGGATTGATAAATTAATTAAATTGTATAATGTTTTATTAGCATTATCAAAGTGTATACCAAATACATTTGTAGCCGTTGTATATTTCAATATTTAATATTACGGGAAATTCAGTATTATACATTTAAATTCGTTGGACGAAAATCGTCTTTGTTGCAAATTAATTATCTCAAAAATATATTGGCTCTTTTACATTTATATTAATACCTCCAAAAATTTACATATAAAAAAAAACATCAATAACCTCCGAACACTTTTTTCCCGAAAAATGTACTATTATAGCTATAGACAGTCAGCCTTAAACCATCTAAATTTAATTAAGATACTTGCCATGCTGATAGAAACACTTAGGTTTTATTTTTTACTTCTTTGATTATTCAGACCAATGTAAAAACAATCGTTGCGCATTTAGCATAATAACAATGAATATATAACTAAAAAATGGTATAACGATGGCTTTTAAATATGTAATTGCATTCTGTAAGCATTGACAAGAAAAATCAATGCTGATTCATCATTCATGTATTCAGGGATACTATCATTTCTCTAATATAGTCCTACTGTCTATCTATTATTATTTTAATGTAATTCATTTGCCCTGACATTTAAACATGTACATGTATGTGTCCATCAGAAGTTGCCATTTCGAACTTACATATTCATAGAGCAGATGAAGTGGAGTTTACCAGCTTTATTCACCTTGGCATGAGGCAATATCTCTATACTAGACCCTGACGGCTCTGCTTTCCAGAACGTGAGTCAAGTGATACTCACTGTCAGGTGGACTCTTGGACTACCTACGGTCTCGCTGGATCTGATCTAAAGAAAGTCCAAGAAACCGTTTACTGTCTGATATATTGTCCCGCATTTTAAGGGGAGCCAAAAATAGAGATATCTCTGTCAATTGGAGGGCCTACTATCAAAAGGGAATGTTTTGTTTTTGTATTAATACCACTTTAAAAAATTCTAATGTTGTTAATGTTATAATATTTTTATAATTTTAGTACTTACTAATTCAACAGTTCTATTTTGATCTTTTTTATAATTTTCCAACATCTTTATTTAAATAGTTTGTATCAACATTTTGACGTTGTTTTATTATATGTATTTTATGCGCGTCGTTATTCTTTATTTTGTTATTTTAGCAGCTTGACTTTAAGTTACATCCCTTGATAAGTTTAAGAATAGTAGATAATCAATAGACACGTAATTCCATATCGAAATCAGAACATGCTCCACCAAATTACATATTTTTTAATGTTAAATCTACGCTTGAGAATACTTTAAAAACCATTTTTACTGTCATGTTTAAAAAAAAAAGTTAAGTTGTAATTTAAAATTCAAATTTTACATGTGGGCAAGAAGGTAGAATTTATATTTTTAATAATTAATTTTAGTTGTATAATATTATTTAAACCATAAAATACACATTATTTCATATACTATCCGTTTGTTAGACTCTCAAGCTTAGCCTGTACGTCTTGTATGTAAACTTCCATACAATGTTGGTACTATTGTACTCGCATAGTCCCTTGTCATTCCACAACAAACTACAAGGTAGCAGTTGTTTGATTTTGGAGTTTTCTCCCCTAGATGGGTTACTGTCCCCAACTATCCAGCCACATCAGCCCGGAGATTCAAACTCCGACATTTGGTTTAGCAACCGTGAGGTTTAAGGACCCGGCCACGCCAACTCACAATATAACATGCGAGTAGTTTATACTGGACATCATAGAGTCACTATTAATTTAATTATAATTTATATAAGCGCCTTAGATATTAGGTAAAGGCCACATTGTATATACCGCATTCCAACTTCTATGGTTACTCCAGACTGTCATCTTTATAAAGTCAGCGTTTTGTTGATCACATTGTACAGTCCACAATGTACCAACTAAAACAATAAATTACAGTTCCCCTTCCAAACATGACTGTCTATGGGGCGAATAAAGTAGAGTTCACCTGTTTCTGTGATATCGGCGTATCAATGGATAGTGTGGTCAACATTATACCCAGTCGCTTTTTTCCCCTAATATGAGATAGGTATCCATCAGAGCTGGGTGGACTCTGGGACACACTTGAACCCGGATACAAACTCGAGACGTACGGTATATTAGTCTAGCTCTCTACCGCTAGACCAATCCGTCCCTTAGCCAAAACATAACACATTGCATTTGTCACTAAACATTTTGTGATAGACGATTGGGTGATTGCGTGTAGAAAGTGAAGTCGTAAGGCCTGGGCAGTAAGTTGAGAAAAGCCAAATGTTGCCTACCATGTTTCAGGCCCCCTCTCTACATACACAGCTGATTAGCACAACGAAGAAGCGTCACCTATACAAATTTGCATCTGCTGTATAGCAGGATCAGCTACTGAAAGGAAACCAGTGTTGGTTTTCCTATTACCTAAGGGACCCTACTCCTGTTTGATTTCGGAGTTTTCTCCCCTAGATGAGTTGCTGTCCGCAACTATCGAGCCTCATCTGTCCGATAATTCAAACATTTTTTTTTAGTTAGATCACATTACAACCAACTCTGGAAATTGATTCGTTTTTTTTTTATTGCAGAGTTGCCTACATCATATAGACCTACATCAATTTTTTGTTTAGTAGATTAAAGCTGAATCACAATAGCCAGGCTTGAAAGTCTTCAATATAACTATCGAACAGATTTGAGAACATCACTTGAGAATCATCAATAGAACCTTGGGCAAGGAATGAGCTGCCATCGGCAATCTTCGCCAGGTCTGTGGAAAGTAAATCAAAAGGCGGTTTTATTTGCATAGATAATACATTACCAAGAGCTGGACTACTAAGAGCATACAGGAAGTCTGAACATTATGTAACAATCACTTTTTGGCAAAAATAATATAATAATTTTCACGCCTAATTGCAGTAGCATGTGTTTCAACCCCGTTTGCAGTGAGTAATTATGTTGTTTAAAACGAGAAATTAAGTAAACAGAGATAATGTTCAATCACCTGAGAACCGTGGGGGGGGGGGGGGGGGGGCGAAGGGTGCGGACCGCACCGGGTGACACCATTTACGGGGGTAACACCAAGGCAAAAATATAGAGAAAAATGATAATTCCACTTAATTAAGTGATTAATTCTAGTGTTAACAAGTCTTTTAAGAGCAAATTTGACAAATCCCGACAAGAGTGGAGGGGGGAGGGGGTGTGCAAATCGAAAGTTTGAGGGGGTGGGTGCGAATCGAAAATTGAAAGTTTGTCCCCGGGCGCCGGGAAGGGTCGCTACGCCTCTTGGAGGTGGCATCATTAAGTGCGGCACCGGGTGACACCCGACCTCGCTAAGCCACTGCCTGAGAAGGCTACTACGTTATGACTGTTAATATTTTAGGGCAGGAAAACTTACGCTTAAAGACAAAATCAAATGTTTAATAGTTTGCAGTTGTTGTTTGGCTTTGACAGAAACTTTTAAATGAAGCTAGGCCTAATTTAATCTGATATGGTTATTTTTTTCCCCAAAAACTTCATAGGCTCAACTTTTAATATTATTATTTAGGCCTGGTAGGCCTATTACAGGATGCTAACGAAAATATCAAATCCTATATCACATTAGCAATAAATAATGTAACAATTTACGCATGAAATGATTATGTATTAGTAATTTTGCGGCATATTTTGTGAGGTCTACTAAATGTGTGCGGATATCCGCATTGGGGGGGGGGGGGGGGGTCGTCGCAATAGGGCGAGGAGGGGGTGGGCGGTGGGGTGGGGATGGGGAGGCGGTCTAAAATATCCACATTTTTGTGGACGACATAAATGGATGACCCCATACTTGTTCGGCAATACAAATTGATTAACTTACCGACAATAGTTCCACCAGCGATCACACCTAGACCGTAATAAACCTGTTGTCGAGAAAATTAAAGATAATCCAAAGCGACATTTGTGATATGTTTTTTATAAGTGTTTTATTAATTTTCAAATTGTCTATTATGAATTTGCGCATAGCATTTATCAATGAATCAAGTTATATTTCTTTTTTAGGAATGTGGTGGGGAAGGGGGCCGAGAAAGTGTAACGTCACACTCTTAGAAATTATAACAGCAAACTTTATTATTAAAATGTTTCAGTTTAGTTTCGATTGAGGCATTATGCATAATAAAATAACGACGAAAGTTTTCATAACAATACATTTCCTAACCACAAATGTTTACTGTCGAATGTGAATTTACAAACACTCACCTTGTTCAGGTTCAATTAGACATACTGCAATGATGAACAACACGATAACTACAACAGCAGTTTTCATCTTCTAGGACTTCAGCAGTGTGCAGAGGTTCTGTGAAGGCTTGTGAGACTATCCTAAGCGTATTTGAATAAGCAATGAAAGACGCCAGTGTTAATCAATATTTAGGTTAATTAAAAATGTGGTAATTACTAAACGATTAGACTTTGCCCTGGCTACATCGACCTGGCCACAATGTTATGGATACAGGGCCACATGTTAACGGTCACTTTATTTGGCCAACACTGTACTGGCCACAAGGGTACATTTTACTTGTTAGAATTTATTAACTACATTCTATTGGCAACTCTTCCAGCTACATTTTGTTTACATTCTATTAGCAACTCTCCTAGCTACATTTTGTTTACATTTTATTGGCAACTCTACTAGCTACATTTTGTTTACATTCTATTAGCAACTCTCTTGGCTACATTTTGTTTACATTCTATTGGCAACTATCCCAGCTACATGTTGTTTACATTCTATTGGCAACTCTACTAGCTACATTTTGTTTACATTCTATTGGCAACTATCCCAGCTTCATTTTGTTTACATTCTATTGGCAACTCTACTAGCTACATTTTGTTTACATTCTATTGGCAACTATCTTGGCTACATTTTGTTTACATTCTATTGGCAACTATCTTGGCTACATTTTCTATGTTATATTGGCAACAGAAGCGTAGCGACCCTTCCCGGTGCCCGGGGACAAACTGTTCGATTTGCACCCCCCCCCCCCCTGAAACTTTCGATTTGCACCCCCTCTACCTTTCAATTTATTTTTCCAACCCATTTTGCGCCCCCTAAGGTCGGCGCCCGGGTACATATGTCCCCCCCCTCTCGCTACGCTACTGATTGGCAACTCTACTGGCTACGTTTTATTTGCAATGGGACGTTGTTTTAACTACTGTTGCAGATTTTACTGTCCCCATTTTACTGACCACTCTATAAAGCCCAACGTTTGACAGTGACAACGTTATAGTGTGCACATTGTTGTGGACAAAAAGTACTTCCTATTTTGTACCTACCGTCCAAAGTATTTGCTATTTTGTACCTACCGTCCAAAGTATTTGCTATTTTGTACCTACCGTCCAAAGTATTTGCTATTTTGTACCTACCGTCCAAAGTATTTGCTATTTTGTACCTACCATGATGTTGATGATTTTGTACCAGCCCCAACCAAATTGTAACACTACTTTGTGTAGTGACCGCTGTAATAACACCGTGTATACATTATTTTGTACTAGCCACATAACAAAATTCTAATGGCCAAGCTATATTTACTACATTATGTTGAATACCTTATCATACAGATCTTTGGCAACACAACACTATATTATACAAGCAACGTGAAAACCTAGTGTTCAAAATGTAGAGCTTCCCTAAAGATTCATAGTACAGATGAAGTAGAGTTGTTTTTTGACCTCGGTATATGAATAGTTGTCTGCACTATGCCCAGCCTCCTTTATTTTCCCAAAAGTGAGTCGGTTACCCAAATCCAGACTGAAATTCAAACTCGAGGCTTGCTGGCTTGTAGTCGAGCGCTCTACCATTCGTCCACGCCGCCACTTGAGAACATATATTTGTATTGGCCACAATGAAAGTAGAGCGCATGGTTCATTATATATGGCCACATAATTTGACTTTACAATAACGCTATCAACATCGTCTATTCCCTCTTGTGCCCACAACACATTCGGCAGATGAAGTAAAGTTCATGTTTCAATAAGGGGATAATATGGTTAGAAATATTCCCAGCCGCCTTGTTTTCCCTAAAACGAGGTAGGTACTCATCAGAGTTGGGTAGACTCAGTGAATTTCTACTGATTTAAACGCGGATTTGAACTCGAAACTTTCGGGTTAGCAGTCTAGCAGCATTATACAAGTCACAAAACATATTAGCCATGATTCGAGTTCACTTTATACTGGTACCGTGGCCTTAATAAAAGTAAGTAACTGTAAAGTTCCCTTTTTGAACCTGACGGCCCCCATTGGGCATGTGAAGTAGAGTTCACCTGTTGCTGTGACCTCGCTGCCTTTATTCTTTACTTGAGTTAGGTACCCCTCGTACCTGGTTGGACTCAGGGACGTTCGACTGACTTGAAACCGGATTCGAACGCGTGACTTTCAGGTAAGAAGTCTATCGCTCTACCGCTAGGCCACGTCGTCACATGTGGCTGTAATATACCAACAGTTATACTTGCAACACAAAAACGTTATACTAACATGTCGACCTCATGAAGATGACCACAACCACATTAAAATACCACACGACCTCTTTATATTGGTCACGTGACAAGACTTTCTGACCACACGACCACGTTATACTGGCCACACGACCACGTTATACTGGCCACACGACCACGTTATACTGACCACACTACCACGTTATACTGGCCACACGACCACGTTATACTGGCCACACGACCACGTTATACTGGCCACACGACCACGTTATACTGGCCACACGACCACGTTATACTGGCCACACGACCACGTTATACTGGCCACACAACCACGTTATACTGGCCACACGACCACGGTATACTGGCCACACGACCACGGTATACTGGCCACACGATCACGGTATACTGGCCACACGATCACGGTATACTGGCCACACGACCACGGTATACTGACCACACGACCACGGTATACTGGCCACACGACCACGGTATACTGGCCACACGACCACGGTATACTGGCCACACGATCACGGTATACTGGCCACACGACAACGGTATACTGGCCACACGACCACGTTATACTGGCCACACGACCACGTTATACTGGTCACACAACCACGTTATACTGGCCACACGACCACGGTATACTGGCCACACGACCACATGAAACTGACCACACGACCACGGTATACTGGTCACACGACCAAGTTATACTGGCCACACGACCACGGTATACTGGCCACACGACTACGGTATACTGGCCACACGACCACGGTATACTGGCCACACGACCACGTTATACTGACCACACGAGCACGTTATACTGGCCATACGACAACGTGAAACTGACCACACTACCACTTTTTACTAGCGACACGAGAATGCTATACTTGTCACATGACCACATTACACACGTGGTGATTAGTGTTAGGGTTAGGATTAAAGCTTACGTGACCTTTCACTCACGTTATCCTTGCCAAATGATCATAATCAACTGACCATAAGACCAAATTAAAATGACCAGATTCCTACGTGATTCTCACCAAAACGACTTCTACATTAAGGCCTTATAGCAACACTGTACTGGCGATATTGAACGGTCCACCTTGCATTGATCGATGTTAGAGTAACTGAACTTATCGATCGGGTTTTACCTAATCGAACATAGTTACCTATTTATCAAGTAAGAACATACGGCTATTATGTTAAATGTAAGTTTTAACGCAACATTTTTAATTTATCGAAATAATAAAAAAAATAGAAAATACCAATGTAATTGATTTTGAATTTTGAAAAAAATGCTTTATTACCAAGTTAACCATATAAACCTAGAATAAGTGTTATTTACTTTAAAGCATCATTCCAAAAATATTCCATCCTCCATAATTGACATCATTGAATGGTAGGGCAGACGTGATGAGTGAGTATAAATCATCACTTAGAGACTATTCCACAATCCCACGGGCGAAACACCGGGTTGCAGAGCCGAGGTCTGAAAATTGTTTTAAAATAGGGTTTAGATTGAAGGAATAAAATGAGATTAGTAAAGTAAAAAAAAAAAACAACACAACAATAATGAACCACGGAGGCAGTTGTACGCTTAACTGATAAACTTGAGCAGGAGTGAAGTTGTCTACAGCAAACAATTATTTACTTACCGACAGTATGGCCAATCGTAATCACACCATCGCCGAATTGAATCTCCTGTTGAGAAGAAAATTAAAAATAGTACAAAGCATTAAACTTAATCTTGAACTTTTTCTTTCATTAATGTATATTATCTTACAGTCCAAGTTTATATTACACTGCAGAACGGGGCGGGGGGGGGGGGGGGGTGGAGTGGTTAAGAAATAAAACACCACTCTCATATTTTTAATAGACGTATTTTTTTTAAAATCTGAAATAGCCAGTTTTTTTCGTTTGTTTTTGTTCTTGTATTAAGATTACTTTTTTAAATGTTGTATAAATATATACATACTTATACATGTATATATATATATATATATATATATATATATATATATATATATATATATATATATATATATATATATATAAGACATACTATTAAAATAACAAACTTTTTCATGCAGTACATTTTTCAACTAGACATACTGAACGCCCCTTGTAAAATTACTAACACTTACCTTGTTCAATTAGTACAAAGGCCATAATGACCAAAACTGTGATGACCACAACAACAGTTTTCATCTTGTTGGACCTGTTGATTGTTCTAGTAAAGTGTTGTCGTGTCTTGTCTGGTTTCTTCTCAAATGGCGGTGTGTTTAACGCTGTGGGGCGAGTAATCAGTATTTTAATTAAAATTGATTAAATAGAAATTATAGGATTAGACGGTGTACGCCTACTGGCTGTTTTATACAAGCGAAATTTTATTGGCCGCATCGTAGTGGGCCATTTTCAATTAGCTTGGCCCTTAACTAATGGCCACATTGATTTGGCCACATTGCATTGTCTGATGTGTAACACCGTATTGTTCTGGTCATATTGTATTAGCTATTTTATAATGGCCCAATTGATCTGGCCACATTATGTTGTCCGACGTATAATGGCCCAATTGATCTGGCCACATTGTGTTGTCCGACGTATAATGGCCCAATTGATCTGGCCACATTGTGTTGTCCGACGTATAATGGCCCAATTGATCTGGCCACATTGTGTTGTCCGACGTATAATGGCCCAATTGATCTGGCCACATTGTGTTGTCCGACGTATAATGGCCCAATTGATCTGGCCACATTGTGTTGTCCGAAGTATAATGGCCTAATTGATCTGGCCACATTGTGTTGTCCGAAGTATAATGGCCCAATTGATCTGGCCACATCGTGTTGTCCGACGTATAATGGCCCAATTGATCTGGCCATATTGTGTTGTCCGACGTATAATGGCCCAGGTGATTTGACCACATTGTGTTGTCCAGAGTTTCTCTCAGGCATCTCTTCGAAGAGAAGGTGGGGGGGGGGGGGTTGAAGCCATCCCGATGAACGTCTAGCCCCCCTCCCTCCCATATGATGTGTAATGGCTTAATTGATCTTGCCATATTGTATTGACAAATGTCTAACGTCCAAATTGTACTGGCATTATTGTATTGACAACTGTCTAACGGCTGTATTGTACTGGCCATATTGTACTGGCCACTGTACATATTTTACTGTAGATATTTTACTGTAGATATTTTACTGTACACATTTTACTGTACATATTTTACACATTAAGTTGACCACAAAGTGTAAGAAACAGCTAAAAAATTGTTGTAACGTGTATTAATCTTTTTTATTAGTGTCTGGGGTTTAATAATTATCAATGGTCTTCTGGTTACTTGTACCTTATTTGTTTTGTGTTCCTATTGATGCTTGTTTATACAGAGCACATTGTTGCAAGCATCAAAGGCGTAGTTAGGGGAAGGCGGGTGGGGACTAAGCCCCGGGTAGAAAAAAAAAGCCCTTTCTTAGCTGAATTACTGAATTATTCACAATCGAAGTTGAGGAAACAGACTGCTATTTTTTTTTTACTTTGTTTTACACACACACACACACACAATTTTTGTTTACATGATAGTGAATTGTCAGAGGCGCTTTTTCGCTTCTTTGAATAACTGTATAAATGGGGCGGGGGGGGGGGGGTCGATATTTTTCCTCAGGCACCGGAATTGGTCTCTAAGCATCTGGAAAGTGTGGCTTTTATTTCTTTGACGAATTATCAGAGGGTGGTTATTGTATTGTGATGGTAAGTCACTAAATACATTTTTCACATGTCAGGCTTAATTTTCTATTGGGCAGATGAAGTAGAGTTCGTATGTTTTTTTCATCAAGACAATGAAAGAATGGTGTGATCAACACTCTGTCTAGCCACATTTTCTTCCCAAACGTAAATTAGGTATCCTTAGGCAGTGGCGTAGCGAGGTCAGGTGCGGCACTTAATGGAGTCACCCCCCGGAGGGGTAGAGACCCTTTTCGGGGACAAACTTTCAATTTTTGCTTTGCACCCCCCCCCCCCCGCCCTCAAACTTTCGATTTCCACCCCCATTACACTTTCGATTTGCAACCCCCCTCAAACTTTTTGCAACCCCCCCCCCCCTCATTCATTCGATTTGCACCTCTTAAAACACTATTTAACACTCGAATTAAGTGTAATTATCATTTTTTCTCAATACATTTTGCTATATTTTGCTTTTGTGTCACCCCCTAAATGGTGTCACCCATCAAACAACTGCTGCATTGTAGTTTGTTCTTGGTTGGACAAATGCTATGGAACTGACTCCAATAATAAAAGCAGGCTGTAATCGGATTCATGGCAAATAAAAGGTTGACATGTAATACTTAATTGTGTTAGAAGGAATTCCTACACTAAGGTACTACCTTAAGTTCGATGAAATGATCGATATTCGAACTTTGAACTAGCAGCCGAACATTTTATTAATTAAAAATAACCGTTTTTAATTTTAACTACACCACTTAATAAAATGTGGTAGAAGGAAACAAGAACACTTTATTTTAATTTTATATTTCCAAGTTGATCAAAAACATCACTATTTTTTTTCTTTTACAATCGGAGTAAAATCTGAATCACTTCAGTCAGACTTGCTAGACTTGTAGGTGACATTAGACCATTGAGGAAATGCTTTATATTGTTCCTTTAAAGTTGAGACAAACTAGTTCACAGTGCCTGTCTTTCCCTGTACCCCTGAAAAATGGATCAGCAGGTTTAAAGTACAAAAGATGAAATACAGATAGTACAATTTTAATAACAATTCCGTTAAACACACTCGCATAAAAACACACATAAACATACACGCACATACAGAGACATGTATATACTCACTCGCATATACTCACACAAGTTACCTCACTTTTAGACATACAGCCATATACACTCAATAAATACATATTCACTGTTTAGGATCAATTGGTTGAGAATGGTCAAACGATCTCATGACAAATGATCTCAGGACAAATGATCTCAGGACAAATGATCTCAGGACAAATGATCTCAGGACAAATCATCTCAGGACAAATGATCTCAGGACAAATGATCTCAGGACAAATGATCTCAGGACAAATGATATCAGGACAAATGATATCTGAAAAAATTATCGCAGGATAAATTATCTTACACAAAATATACCAGGCGACATATCACGACCATATGATCGCAGTGTCAAATGATCTTAAAGACAAAACTATTAGGATTAATATATATATATATATAAAGAAATTATATAGACACATGTCGTGATAATATTTATCCTAAGATCAAATCGCCCGTAAAATATGATGTCTTTCATATTTTTCTGTGATCATTAGTCGTGGCACTTGGCTTGCCATTGGATCTATATTTAAGCGTTATCGAATTTGTCTTACATCTTTAAAATAAGTTACTTACCAGCACTTCCATATACACGGTACAGCAAAACCTGTTTAAATAAAATACATTATGTTATGTTGATCATCATATAACTATTGATGTCAATAATAATAAAATAAATTACGTTAATAGTAAATCTTTAAGTGTGTGTAAACTGGATAGAATGTACAGGTGTTGAACGTGGATGACAAACAAAAGAAAAAAAAAATGAAATGGAACTGAAGATGACAACTTTATCTGCTAGGGCTAAAGTTTTATAATTTTTAAATTATGGATCTAAATGTCTCAAACAGAAATAATTACTTACTTTGCTGTCTACACACCGTTTAAAATGACAAGCTAACCACCTACTAGCCAAAGTTAATCTAAAACAAACTAACCTCCTACTAGCCAAAGTTAATCTAAAACAAAGTAACCACCTACTAGCCAAAGTTAATCTAAAACAAACTAACCATCTACTAGCCGAAGTTAATCTAAAACAAAGTAACCACCTACTAGCCAAAGTTAATCTAAAACAAACTAACCACCTACTAGTCAAAGATAAAATCTAAAACAAAACGAACCACCTACAACCTAAAGATGAAATCAGAAACAAACTTACCATCTACTAGCCAAATATGAAAGCTAAAACAAACTAACCACCTACTAACCAAACATGAAAGCTAAAAAAACTAAACACCTACCACCAAAGATAAAATTCATCATAAATTGTCCAGCTACTTGCCTAATACTTGGTTACAAATATCCCAATCATACATTTTCAGTGCACATTTTTCCAACGGTATATTTTTTTTATAAAACTAACGTTAGAATATAATAATGCGACTAGTTACCTTGGGTAATGAAGAAGAGCCAGATGGCAAAGTATATGATGTAGACTACAAGAGAATTCATCTTGTCACAATGTTGACGATCTGTTGACCTTTCACCCCGCGTGCTATGTCTTGTATCTTTTAAAAACAACATTAATCTTACTAACTGTAGTTTACTGAAAATAATGGGCTAGTTATTCAATAACTAATTATCGATTATCGAAATACCAGTTTGAGAGTATAACTAAAACACACCGTGGACTGTCTTCAAGCTTGCTTTTAACATTTAACTGGGAAAAAAAATTAACTCACTTACGTTTACCTGGCCATAGTTGTGCTTCCAATAATTAACTTGCCACATTGCACTGGCTATATTGCACTGTCCACACTTAAGTAGCCATATTATACTTCACACTGAAACCATTTACCTGATATCAGTGTACTGCATACATTATATTGGTCTGTCAGCATTAATCTGGATACAATTTAGTACCAACAATCTTATTAATATAATACAACAACACATAATAATGGCCACTATAAGAAAAAACATTCCTCTTTAGATCTACCGATCTATTGGGCAGTTGAAAAAGACTTCCTATATTTCTTGCCCCCAGTATTTGAAGGGATACTGTAATCAGCACTATGCCCAGCCGCCTTTACTTTCCCTAACGTGACTTAGGTACCCATTACAGCTGAGTTGACTCAGTGACGTTTCATTGACCTGAACCCCGATTCGAACTCCAGGTCAGCAGTCTAGCGTTCTACCGCTAGGCCACGCCTTCTCATATGAATACACCCTACTTGCTGATTATTTTTTTTATATGTATCTTTGCAGATTAAAATTGCCTTTGCTACATATCACCATGCATTTTAAGTTACATATGCATTATTTGTCATTTTATGAGCCGATGTAAGAACATTTAATATCTTCGTACCGTTAATTAGTTAAAATTGCACGGTGTTAAATTTTATTTATCATTAGTTTTCTCAGTTGGTTTGTATTATCACTATTGTTAACATGCATTATTCCATCCTTTCCCCTGATGGTCTGTTTCAGCCTGCTTCAACAACTTCCACTCTGTATCTTCTTCTTCCGTGTCTTTATACTAAGCTGCAGTAGGTCAGTCTCCGCATCATCTATCTATATAGGCTACAGGACATTACCCTACGGACATTCCCCCACCCGGACACTCCCCCCCCCCCACCGTATTTAACCCCCGGAGCAATAACCCCCTATTAATTACCCCCACCTGAAAATTACCCCCAGGGGAATTACCCCCCCCCCCCCCCCCAACCCTAACCCCTAATCCACCAAGATAGAATACTGATTCTAACTTCAACTCTATACCTATATATTACCTTAAACTAACCTTAACAGTATAATTTTTGTTACGAAGTGTCTACTCGGAAGAAGATTTTTCTCCCCAACGTCTCCACTTAGTCGGCAAAAGATAGGTATGCGCATGCGCAGTGACCTATGGCTAGGGTTATGGCTAGAATGAGGGTTAGGGGTAGGATTAGGGATAGGGTGATAGGGTTAGGGATAGGATTAGGGTTAGGGTTAGGGTTAGGGATAGGATTAGGGTTAGGGATAGGATTAGGGATAGGGTTAAGGATAGGATTAGGGTTGGTGTTAGGGTTCTGCGGTTGTAAACACACGCATTCGCAGTACCATAGAAAACATCGCCGCTAAGGCAAGTCGTAGTTTATTTCCATTGCGCATGCGTATCGCATGCTTATCTTATTCCGGCTAGAATTGGCCTTTTTGTTATGCGTTTTGAAAATGAAATAATAATACTATTACTATTTGTACAAAAACTGAAGAGACGCTTGTAGACATCAAGGGAGTTGCATGCGGCTCGCGAGGCACATGTTTCCTACCCCTGGGTTAACACCGTCACATTATTTTTAAAATGGATGTCCCATCATTAGGGTTTTAGATGTACTAACGAGAGACACAGATATATCGAAGATAAAATAATTATTTCTCACTTGAATAAAATAATGTTTAAAGGAAGCTAATGTCTTCATTTTTTTTAAATAAAATAAAATTTTAAGTAGTTACACAAAAAATATTAGACGTTTTTTTGTAACAGCTTTGATTAAAAGTCTTAAAGTAGGGATCAAAAGCGACTGATATATATGACTGAGCAGGCTCTAAGGCATAGATTCCCAAACTTTTTCTAGTAGCGACCTCCTTCTATAAAAAGTAAGTGACCCGCGACCTCTGTAGAATTAAAAAGTCGAAATTAGTCAGGAAATTAATAAACACCAAAATACGATTTTCTTGTATAAATAAAATTAAAATTTTTGTATTAATTGTTTTAATGCGATGGGTGAAATAGCCTGCTATTAACTAACCTCAAAATTCGTGTTTGAGTTTTTGTTAACGACAACCTCATGTCATTCTTAACATTTGAGTTATTGTTTACATTTTAAAAATTCATTATGGAATCATGTCCATCAGGCCAAAACTCACTCAAGCGATTTGTGATGAAATAGTACACGATTGCTTGATAAGTTGATAAATAATCAAGATTCAGATGAAGAAACATCGGTTTTATCATCTGATGTAGATTGTAATTATTCATCAAGCCGTGAGAGTGATAGATATAGATGTAGTGGTGATACTGATTGTGATAACAACACATGTGGGTGTGGCACATCCTATGCAGGGAAGGGTAAGGGACCCATGCTTAAAACAAGGAAAGCTGGTACTAATGCTGCTAGTACTAATACTAATGTAACAGGACAGGATGAGCCTGTAACTGTCAGTGGTTCTGCTACTGCCACTAGTAGCACTAATTTTATTTGGATACAAATACATGAAGGCGCAGCAGAAACAACTTCCGTTTTGTTTGCCATGACGTAAACTAGGATACAATAACATCCAATGCAATAACAGATTAGCGAAATCGTCTCCAAAGGTTGGTCTGGGCTTCCTAAAAGTGTGGGAGAGGTACACGTAGTTATACCTGAAATATACATGAAACATAATATATTATGTACAATAGGTGATCATTAGCATTCATACTTTCCATTTGTACCTATTATCTGCAAACAATCTACAACCAAAATGATTATTATGATTAATTAGGAATATGGTATTTATATACCTTTTTTATTTACCTTATTATTCAACTATTATCACTGTACCGTCAAATACGTTCCACGTATTTGATTTCATGTACTCTCTGTACATACCAACTTAATTAATTAAATAATTTGCACTAAAAATTTAAAATGTTGATTCTGTTAACAATTTAGAAATAAATTTTAAAAAAAAAGACTATTTGCAGATGTGTCCCTCATATTTGGGGAGCCAAAATTTTTAAATAAATACACAGAGAAAACATTTTAATAGGGATAGTTTTAACTTGTGTAATGTGACTTTAAAAAATGCTAATGTTATTTAGTTTTTAATATTTATTTGTTTTAGTAGTCAATTATGAAAATATACTATTTTGATACATTTATTCATTCACAAAAACGTTATATCAATGATATTGTAAAACTACATTTACGCGTTTTATTATTTTTTTTGTGCCTCTTTGTTATTATTTTTATTTTATTTTTATTTTAGCGATTTGATTGTAAGTTACATCCCCTGAGTAGTTTACAAATGGGAGATAATCTATCGGCACTTTATTTTGCGTCGATATCAGATTCATCGTCCACAAACTAACCTCGTTTTTTTGAATGTTAAAACTACGCTTAATGATCCTTTAAAACTATCTTTCTGGTCATGTTATAAAAGTAGTACAATTTTAATTTCAAATTTTACACATGGACAAGAAGGTAGATCTTTTTTGTTGTTAAACAATTAACGGAAATTCACATACCCATCCCGGAACCATGTCACCATCAACAGCGCAACAGCGATACACAAGGGGAGGATACCGGCAACAAGGAGGATCCCGGTCCTCCCAGAAGCAGAGACACAGTAGAACAGCAGATAAGTGGTCCGCGGAGAAGTTTGAGAAACAGAAAGAATACGAAATTTTTCGTCAGCAACCATCAATTCTGTCATGGTCGCGCTGGTATGAGAACAGACTGTTCAAAAAAGTTATAAAAGTGAACTGGTGAAGGCACCAAACGAAAAAGGTGGATATGAATTCTAGAACTGCTTGTGTCTGAGGAATATGATGTAGACACATTTGATATGTGAAATAGGGATAACTGTCAATCTTTTACGAATGTGACGACATTGACAGTGAATGGAACAATAAATTTTTTTTTTACGATGGTGAGATTGACATTTAAGAAGTGCACCTACCAAGCGTTGTTTGTGGTTGAAAACACACAAAAAAAAGGCGGCGGTGGATGTAACTAGGTGTAGTTACCAGAGATGATAACAACGCAATAATGCAGGTGTTAGGCTGATAACGATCACAAAGCCGCTGCGCAGTTCACAGGCTGACGTCACAGTGCAGATGGCTTATTAATCGGACGGTACGACAGAAGCGGCGTAATTAACATTCTGATGCAACGAGTAGAATCGATTACGATTACGATTACGATTACGAATCCGATTACGAATACGAAGGGATATATAGGAAGACGGCTGAGATATAGGAGGACAGAACGAGAACGATGATCAGTGAGGATCAGTCAGTCAGTCAGTAGGAGAGTGGCAGTATCAAGTTGGTTATTGAACGGGTTAGCCGTATTGTGTTAATAAGGACGATAGACATGTGCATTCAGTTATGTGAAGACTAGTGAGGACTGTTGGGGGTCAGTTGATTCAGACTATTATTGTGAAACATCTCTCTTGATTCATTATATTATTGTGAAGCATTTCTTTGATTCATGTAATAAAAGGATCAATAATGAACCTGCATCTTCGAGTATCTATACTGTAGTCGATGTTGTGTAGAATGAGTGGTTAGACTCGTTACATTTGGCGTTGTCGGCAGGATAGACTCGGGAAGGTTACATTTGGCGCTGCGAGCAGGATGATTCAATTAGACCAGCCGCTAGGGCACCCATAGTCAACCTAGATCCAGTTCATAACTGTGTTTCGTGTGTGTGTGAATTCGGACATTCAGGAACAGTGAAAAGTGAGGAACGAGGAAAAATTTTCATACACACACGGTAAGAAAGGTCTTTTCTTTTTTTGACTCAAGGAATAAAAATTAT